TTTTCAAAACAAACATCGTGCACTGTGACAATTAAGATTCCAAGTCCTTGTGAGTTTGTCTTATAAAGTTTATTTAAAATGAAATTCCAAATTAAGGTGTCCTTAATTAATCTCAGACGAGATTTTGATTACAAGCATTAGAAAAGACGAATTACTTAATTTGTTGTTCATTGAGATGTACATACATTAGTATAGAAGTAATTTGTCTGCTAAACATAAGCTATAGAACTCGCAATAATTTCACGAATTTCGTAAAATGACCCTGATTGATCGCAATAAGTTGTTGGTGTTTGACAGCCTTTTTAAAAGAACCAACGAGACTTTTATTGTGTAGTTCCTTGTCTAAACTCAGAAGTAACTTCAACTCTTGTAAACAAGGTGCAACTCAATATTTACAATTAATACTGAATGAGAGCTGAAAATACCAATTCAGCTAAAACAACATTTTTAATACGTTACAATATAAGATGGACGGATTCATTTACGGACGCTCACCTTTATAATTAAGATTTAAATTCAATTCTATAACACTGACAAGACAAATGTTCATTTGCACTAAAGTTAAGTACGTTTTAAACCAATGTTTAAGTTGATAAGACACTCTTAACACATTTTTTTGATCTTTTGTATTGCAAGCATTGGTATAAGATGTACTTAAGATTACACATAATTGACTTAAATTTATTTCTGTAATATTTTTATAGTAACGAGACAAGCGCGTTACTTAGTAAAAATGGCCATGGCCATGGCACTTAAAATTTCAAGTCGTTTTTCCCCTTTACGCTTCAATCTGGAACACAATATGGCTGTTCTGCAGTAGAAATGGTAGAGCGACGGTGCCTTTTCAAACGGGCTCTGCATAGAAAACTCTTCCACAAATAGAAATATTTAAGTGACGTAAATAGAGTTAGTTATTATGTCCCGGGAGTTGGGGTGTATCATAGTGCGTCAAAATGCACATCATTGAGTTGATATTGAAATGGCCATGTTTTTTTCACAATCCAAAAAAGGAGGTTATTAGTCGTTTGTTAGCTTGTTCAGTCCCCTGTAATGTTAAATTTGTTGGGTCGGTTTTTGTCTTTTGTCTTCTTGGGTCAGTGAACATTTTTTTACTTTTGCAAACGTAAAAGACTCTTTTGTACTATTGTCAGATGGGTGTTGATTTGTGAAGAATCTTTTTATGTCTAACTTTACCACATGTTATATTACCTTGTGACTTAGCCTCTCTTAATACAATGATTATATCGTGTACTATACCGTAGTTAAAATAATTTGGCGTCAAGTTTTCACATCCACTTACAAGCAAGACCGTCTAGTCGATGCCCTAAGATGCCTAACCTCCCCCACAACCGACATTTGGTTCTAATTAGATAAGTGTGAAAAAAGTGTTAAACAAACCTAACCTTTAACCGATGAACCGTAAAATTCATTCCGGTATAACTTTCTTGTTGAATAACTAGTGAATGACATTTTAAGAAACTTTTTAAGCCAATTTAGTATTTATCGTGTACGTGCTTAAATACTGAATACTTTCAACCATAAAGCTGGAATTCTTTTACAGGTCTTAGAAGGTTAGTCTTCCGAACATCGGGCGATAGATAGTCCTAGTTCCTCAGGATTTCATACTGTCTGCAACTCTCAAAACTCAAACTCAAAATAATCTTTATTTCATAGGTAAGCATTATTACACTTGAAATCGTCACAATGGTTAAACTCTACTCTCTCTATTCTCTCTCTTTCTGCTGCATATCAATGATACGTTAATTCCAGATACCTTCGCGTATGCTAATGACAGCACAGTTGTCGATAGGTACTTGACCAATACAAGGGTCAGTGGAGAGGAAATCCAGTTTTGTCGCGAGTCCATGGTTAGTCGTTTGGATTTGACACTTAAGGCGGTCTTCGATTGGAGCGATGCCAATCTTGTTAAATTTAAAGCTCAACTCACACTGGCGCAGAGTCGAAGCGTCGCGTCGTGTCCTGTTTTTCAACTCCACCGCCAGGCGACCCACGACGACGCGCGGCGACACTCGCATTAGTGCGCCGGGATCACAGTTTGGTCGGCGTCAGACGCCTCACGGCGCCCAAGTGACTCGCGTCGCCACTCGATTCCATATTTGCAAACCACAAAGTACCTTAATAATTGGAAAATATAGATGAATATGCTATAGGTGAAAAACATGAGACGTCGCGACGCTTCGACTCTGCGCCAGTGTGAGTTGAGAATAACTCTACCAAAACGCAGGCGTCTCTTTTCTCCACAAAACGGAGACCCTTTGACTCGACACCGATTTGATACCGATAGCCGATTGTCTCCAGCTACTTGGGATGGACCTGTCGTCCAATTCGAAGTTCGGCAGATACATAGAATCCATGGCCATAAATGCAGCCAAAAAGCTTGGCATCCTTTCCAGGGTGAGGAGTTACTTCACACCGGGATAGTTGCTTCAGCTGTACCAAGCACAAGTTTGCTCGTGTATGGAGTACTGCTGCCACCAATAGAATGGTTCTGCTACATACCAACTGGCTTGGATTCAACAGACAAGCGCGACAAGAGGCTTATTGGTGACTCGGAATAAGTAGAGGCGAAGCTGCTGAAGCCTTCAACATCACCGTAAAGTTGTCTGCTTATCAGTATTCTACAGGATATATCACGGAGAGTGTGTGAGAAAATTGCACGATTTAATTCCGCCTTCCCCTTTCCATCATCGGAAGACCAGACGTAGGCGGGGTTCCACTCCTATGTTGTGGATATTCCAAGGATTCATACGAAGCATTTCACTTCCACATTTATATGGCGAACGGCTGGAGTGGATGGAGTGGAGTTCCTGCCTGCGCAAATGTCCCCTGAACGAACACACATAACAAAAGGTGGATGATCTTAAGGCATCGAATGTACGCCCACCATTATCTGAACTTGTATAACGTTGGTAGAGATTGATAGCCAGTAGTGTGCTTATAATTTATACTCTTATACGACTTACCCTTACACAAACCTACCTAATAAAAACTTGTTTGAGGACATTCCGACAATCCTGATTAAAAGGAGACTTGTGAACTCGCCCTCCTAAGGGCGATTTACCTTCATCCAATAACCCCTAACTTTTTTATTTTTATGGAGACACCTTTGTGATAGTTTTATAGCCAACTGTCTGAAGTTGGATACTTTAGAAAATGTGGCTATTAGTTACAACTCCCTTTATGTTTCTGACAAGAAGTCTATGTTATGGTAATTATAACAAGATGGTTAAAATCCAAATTTTGAGCCCAATCTGCTGTAAGACTGTAGATCGAGTTTTATTCGTTTCATTTTTGTGGTCGCCTCGAGTAAACTAGATTTAATTACGAGTAAATAAGTAAAAGAACTAGTAAAACATTAACTACTAAAGGAGTCGCAACGATTGTATTATGACTTCTATTTCATTAGCATTGCAATAGGGAAAACGCAATTTCCACGTAAACATTAGCGTCAACAGCAGACGCTAGTTGATTTTGAATTAAGCTCATAAAAGGAGTAAATATACAGTATTTACATTAATATTTACATTAGTGTTTGTTGTAAACATTTGCTTTACAAAATTGGAAAATGTAAATGTCCAAAAAATGAATACATTCATTAATGACTTGGCCTCTTTATTTATTCGCAATTTATGTGCGGTCCGGTTGATTCATCGAATTACGTTAGTAAATAATCAGGGATTTGTTTAATTGTTTCATTAATATTCGGAAAATGGTCCTCGCCAGTCGCGGCTGAAACTACGCAAATTTCTACAATCAATGCGAAAGTTTCCCTTAAAGTTGGATCATAGTTTGCGGTTATTGAATTGAAGTTAGAATTTAGTTTGAGGTTTCCAATTTCATAATGCTCATCTTTATTCACATCTTACATAATGTAAAGAGTTACTGTAGTATAATATTTCACATATTAATATGCCTCGTATAATTTTATAGCGCGTATTTTCTACTAGTTTATAAATATGTGGAACTGCGCGAATTACAGATAAGCCACATATTTAATATCAAAATTCAGGAGGGTTTAAACAACGATCCATCTGTTTGTCGGTTTGCGAATCCTATCAACTTTGAATTACGCCTGAAATGGAAACCACAGGCTTACAAAGTTGATAATACAATTCATAGAACCAAAGTTTAAAGGAAAAGTTTTATTAGATAGAGTTGGGAGCACAATACGGAGGGAGAAGACAAAGATGTTGAAAACATGTTTATTAAGGTCAATTTTCTAGAAGAACTTTAACATTGAGGTAGTGTAAGCTTAAAAGAACTTTGTTATTTGTGAAAAGAAAACTCATTTGTTTTATGTATTTAATTTAAATTTAATTTTAGGGTACTGAATCAAATTGTAAAAAAACGAACTTTTGTGGTAATACTTCGATGTTGTCTGAAATGTTGAATCTCACAGAAGATAGTCTTGTATATCTTAAAACGTAGTTGTAAATATTCGAAGAGGGTTTAAAATCCTCAAATTCCACACCCCGTTGTACTTTAAAAACACTAACGATACTCTCGTACATTAGAATAATGAATATGACTGTATAACTTAACCATACAACCATCCAAGAAATGTTATAGGTCTCATGAAAAATAAAATTAAGAATTTTCATGACGAAAAATCTAATATTAAAAATAAATAAAAATAAAATTCGTTTAATTCTGCCCGAATTACACAGACCCATAGACATTATACATCACATTACATCAGTCATTACAATACATTAAAAATCAAAGTGTAATATGCTAAATCAAATTATATTATATTAAATTAAGATTATAAAAATTTTATGTCAATCGCTAATGCTAATCAAATAAATTTTATCCCTACTCAAACAAATAAGAGAAACAATACGAGTGCATCAAGATTATCAGTTGATTCGATTTGATTTATTCGATTGGCTCCATATCCGGCAGTCTAGCGGACGTGCTTATTACAACAGTGCCGGATATAGGGGCAATCTAGCCTTCCAGCTATCATGGACAGGACGCTATTGGGGCTGGCCCGCACTCTGCGCACCAGTGATGTGCATCTTTTGCGCATGGTCGCGTGAAAGCAATCGGTTCGTGCCGCCGCAAACATACCAGAGGCGCTGCAGGAGCGGGTCAGCCCCACCAGCGCCCTGAAAGCATTATTAAATTGTACACGGAGCGTACTGTACGCTCTTTGCGAGTAGTTAGCCCACAGGGCGCACGTGTATAGTGACGTACAATACGCACGAAAGAGAGTAATCTTTACTGCGACTGAACTTCGCGCAAATCTGCGAGCTAACATATTTGCTCTCCTAGACAGGGCTCTCCTCTCACGTTCTATGTCATCACTGTCTCCGAGGCCGGCCGTTACCATATGCCCTAAATACTTGAAATGGTCCACTCTATCCAGAGGGACACCATTAAGGTATACGGGTGGTACATTTCGTGGGAATTTGGCACCGCCAGTCCCGAAGACCATGAATTGACTCTTGGTGACGTTATACTTTAGGCCGTGCTCAACGGCATACCTCTCGCAGACTCGCAACAGCTGTCTTAGGCCACAGACCGACGCACTCAACAAGACCATATCGTCCGCATAGCTAAGGTTATTGACACAAACGTCATCAATGTGGCAGCCGACATGGTGGCCGCTGAGCTCGACGATCAGCGCGTTCATGTAAATATTGAACAAAGTCGGAGAGGTTAAGCCACCCTGCCTGACACCACACTGGAGCCACGAGTCAGACACTGCACCCGCCCATCTGACGCTGTTAACCTGGTGTGCATACCAATACTTAAAGATGTTTATGAGTTCGCGAGGTAGCCCTACATTCTCTAGTTTATTCCACAAGAGATTGTAGTCCACCAGGTCGAAGGCCTTAGACAAGTCGAGGAAACATCCATACACCGGCGTTCCACGAGACGTATAATATCTAACGGTGTGCTTAAGACATAGTATAGCACTTTCTGTAGACAATTTGGGTCTAAAACCAAATTGGTTGTCGTGCAAAATGACGTATTTCTCTAGCTGCGAGTTAAGCACACCGTCAAACACTTTGGCAATCACCGTGGCAAGGGAAATGGGCCTATAGTTGTTTTTATCGGCAAGGTCACCCGTCTTATTTTTCACTATGGGTATTACCACGGTTTTCATTAGATCCGCCGGTAAATAGGAGTGGTTCACGCACAACGAGTAAAACATGGCAAGAACTCTACATGTATGAGGTCCTGCATGCTGCAGGTGCTCGATGCTGAGGCCATCGTGACCTGGAGATTTTCCTTTGGTCATGTTTCTAATAACATTCAACACATCCTTTGCTGTGACTCCACGGTTGACTGTCCCGCTCAGCTCATCAGCATCGAACACCCGCTCCACCAGATCCAACGGAGACTTGACAGTGAAATGGCTACGGAAAATATTTGCAATTTCTCCATGATCACACACACCGTCGACGCCCAATGGGCGGCCCGGCTTTAAGTTCTCTTTCTTTACAGCCTTCCAGAAACTTCGAAAATCACCCTTTGAATGTCTCTCCGCTAGGGCATCCATCCTTATTTGGTCTTGATGATTTTGGCACCATTTTAATCGTGATTTGAATACCCTTCTACTTTCACACATTTCGCTATATAAAGCACCCGAGCGCGGTTTGCCTTGCAATATCCATTCGGAGAACTTAACCCGTGCCGCCCTATGAGCATCGGCGACGTGTCTGCTCCAGCCCATTACACGTAAACCAATCCCATTCCCACTAATGCCTCCCCGACTCACAGAGGCCGCATCACGAAGGGCAGACACAATGTCAGCGTATAGTCCATCAAGAACATGTTTGTGACCCTGTTCATTACAATAAGTTTTCGCACAATTTATAAATTCGGAAGGAAAATCAATTAGTCTAAGTCTCTTGTGACACTCTTCGGAATATTTCGCCACTTGTTCCTCATTTCTATCCCCCCACAACACATTTTTGTTGTCAGATTTTATATTGTCAGGTACTGTTGGTGTTAAAAGATTTAATTTACATTTAATTACAAGAGGAAAATGGTCAGACCAAAAAGGAGTGTCACAAATGACATAAATATCAGTGACCGCTTGCCTAGCTGCCCGAGTCACCAAGCAATGATCCAACCAGCTACAGGACCCATGCACTTCACTAATGTACGTGTACGTACTAGAATCTCTGCCTAGAAACTCAACATCGTAGCAAGACAACAGATGTTCATTACAAAAAATACTAAGTTCATTAAAAAATAATTCATTTATGTCAGCATTGTAGTCACCTAGCATAAAAACTGAGTCAATCCCATATTCATCTATGATATCGCTCACCGTACTTAAGCAGTCAGTAAAATCCGGTAGATTTTTCAAAGAGTTAGTAGGCATGTATATGCTCATAACTATCACTGGTCGATCTTGCGTAATTATTTTAATAGCACAAACTCGAGCACTTTCACATGGCAACACTGACACTTGTTGAAATACACTGCTCCTCCACAGTAGAGCAACGCCACCATATGGTCTCCCACGAAGAATGCCCGAGGATGTGTCCACCGCAGATGTACCTGTGTATCCGAAATCACTGTGGATAGTACTTAGGTACGGTATATCATCCTGCAACAACCATGTCTCTTGTAAGGCTATTACGTCACACGACCTACACATCTCTCGTATATCGTCTACTGAGCGTTTAACGCTTTTACAATTGAAGCTCGCGAAACTGTACGTGTGTCTATCCATTTATGTGTGCATTTGGGCCGTCAGACGATGGATGCCTGTTCGAATTTTTGCTATTAAAACTCAAAAAACGTCTAAACACAATGCCCTGAGGCCAAAGGTTTTCATCAAGGTACATCGGCAACTTCGATTCAGATACATAGAACCTAAAAGCCTTGTGACCTTTTTGTTTTTTCATAAATATTTTCTCTAAAGACACACTTTCCTTCGTTTTATTATAGATGTATCTAATTACGTCTTCCTCAGTGGTGTCATTATGTATATTTGTTATAAAAACTGATACTTTCTTCTCGGCCGCTTTGAAATTACATTCCCTGTCATTCGCTACACCAGACTTGCCCAGGAAGCGATAATTAGGTCGTTTTCTACGATATGTGACTTGTTGCCATCCTTCACACTCACCATCGTCATGAACGCCGACATTTGATTTATTAACGTGCAAAACATTCGTGCGCTCCACAGGTATATTGTCGCGGGCATCTTTCGAAGCGATCGGATGACTCATTATTGGCACGGGCGCCTGCGCGTGCGCCGAGTCAGGTTGCGAACCTGTTGCGTTGTTTGTTGACGATCGCTGCGTACTAGTATCGTTTTGAGATTGATACAAATCTACCCGCGAGATATTTATATTTCGGTATTGTGGTGTATTCTTATTTATTTCGTTATCGTTATGGTTAGAACAAAAGGATTCATTTAGAAAAGAATCATGCATATCAGAAAGTCCCATAGGACCACTGTTCATCAACAAAGCGCTTCGGTTTTTGTTCACATGAAAGGCAGACGAGGGCATATACGAAATGTTTTTGTTTTGAATAAATTTAAGCTTTAAGTTCTTTCAAGTTATCTAAAGTGGCATAACTCGATTTCATGTCGTCAATGGTAGTTTGCATTCGTACTATATCCTTTAGAAGTTTCGTACAGTCTAGGTGATCAAAAGTAACAGGAGGTAATCTCTCTAATTGTCGAGCCACAAAGACTGGTATCTCGTCGGGTTCGGCAGATTTAAACAAGTTGATAATATCCGCCAAGTCTCGTTCCTCCCTCCCCTTGTTTTTACGCAAGATTTTTCGTTGATTCGACAATGAATCAAAAAGAAGTGATTTTGACTTCTTGATTTCATCACTCTGAAATGATGACTTACAAATTCGTACCAGAGTCTCTTCGTCCATCACTGACACCTTATTTTGTATGTAAGATAACATTTCGTCGATTACAATGTTGCACGTATTACACTTTATAACGGCCGTCATTTTTACTTTATTTATTCAAAACGCACACATCGGTATAATCAACCGTGTCAGATCGGTGCGCGCGCGAGACTGTGAGTGTGTGTGTGTATTGATTGTAGTCATTGTATGTAGTATAGGAAAAGTAAATAATAATAATAAAGAAAGTTCCAAACACTAGTTTAACAACGGTCAGGACATTTACAAAAATAATTGCTTGACACATAACCTACGGAACCCTCGTATCCTGAGTCATATTCGCATTTTGCCCGCCGTGCAATCTTCTTGGTAGATGATTAGTAAGCTTTTAGAATCTCTATATATACAGTTTTAGAGAAACTTGTGCAAATTTCGTTACCTTAGTAACCATTAGCAGGGGATTTGAAGCCACGTTGCGGTTGCCGGATTTTAGTTAGTACTTAATGCTATAGTTAATGCTATTCTATAATCGAAAATCACCTCTACAAGCTTTTGATTTGCAATTTTTTGCGGAAAATACTTCTGCAGTCTGTAAAGGCTTCAATTATGTACTTTTTTAAATGTTTAGTGACTCAGTATAGCTAGTTGAATTTTTAGGAACAGACTTAAATACAAAAATTGTCTAACATTTAAAATAAAACTTTTTCATAATAAACAAACAATAAGACATGGCTCTAGTTTCGAGAATGGTAGAAAAATAAAATGGTACAAAAGACTTTGGACGTCATAGCACCTGGCAAATTCCCAGATTGTGCCTTAACACCTGCAAACGACGTCATCCAACTTCCGTGGAACACCTGACTCTAGAATAAAATGACAATCTTGTTAGCGCGAAAAGTAATCGAATTTGTTAAACCCGCAAGTAACGAATCTCAACCTTGATTTCATCGGAATAGATTGAATGTAAATTAAATTTTGTCACGGCTGGTGTGAATTTCTCAGCAGTTTAACGGTAGATTTTTATGCGAACTGTATCAGGTGCGAGCCGAATTTCAGTTAAAATATATTCACGCTATAAATCAATCATTGCTTGTCACGAGTTAAATTATAAAGAGGTGTTCTTTCAGTTCTCAAATTTGGTTATGTAAATTGTGATGGGTTCCTATAAGTTCCTATCACTTGAAATTTAATGTATATTTTAAATCAGTCTATCAATTTAGAAGTAGTAGAGCTCCTTTTTTGGTTTGAAGGGTAAGGTGCTGGTGAAATTACAGGCACAGTGGACTTGTCAACTAACAGTGGCAGTGCATCTCAGATCTTTGTGATATAAAGCTCTGAGTGGTATTGCAATTGTTAAGGACATGCGTCGCTTACCGCTCACGACTTTTTCGTCCCGTCACTTAGTTTCATAAAAAAACAATCATAAACGCGTCAAAATTTGTCAGAAAGGAACGTCAATATTACACTGAATGTTATAACGATAGCGGAGTTGTATTAATATACCTTTCAACATTTTTTAAAGTTTTGAATTTCCACGTTGAATCTTGGGGAAACTGAATACATTAAATACCTTCATTTTTATAACGCTCTAAAAATAAAACTCCTATATGCTCGAATGTTCGAAATTTCGAGATATGTAGGATGGAGGGTGGGGATACGGGTGCGGAGTGCAGTTGCTGGTTACGCAGTACTTGCCCAGTTCATTAGCCACTAAAAGGATTAGCGGCATAGCCCCGTATTCCAGCGTAACGTACTTTGGCAGACATGACATTACGTAAACATACCACGTTACACCACGCAATGTGCTTACAGGTTGCCTGTTTGAATAGGTTAGTGTATCTCATAAAACAACATGGAACAGACTTATTATCTAAATTGCATGGCATTTTCCTTTTTTAAAAATTATCGATTTCCAAAAAAGGAGAAAGTTCTAAATTTTAATGTATTTTTTGCATGTATGTTACGCGATTACTCTGACATTTATCAACCGATTTCGATGATTCTTCTTTATTAGAAAGGGTGTACCTCAGTAGTGGTTCCATTCAAATTTGAAGAAAACATGTCACCTCTAAGGGTGGTAAATTAGGGGATGGCAAATTGATATAATTTCACAAATTAATGTCGGTTTTTTTGTATAAAAGTTATAATTATGTGCGTTGTATAGGTATATATACTTATAACATTCGGTACTTTTCCGTTAAGAAAACTTAAAGTTACACTAAACAACTGGTTGCAGAAACTCAGTTATCTTGAAATGGAAGATTTGGTTAAAACGTTATGATGAAAATATTTATATTTATGCATATACACACAAAATACTTTTACAGGTTAAATGGGTAGTTATTTACTTGTAAGATCTATCGTAGGGTTCGTTTTAAGTCCACGTACACACATCAACATCTATCCACACCCTTGAACTCACTACATAAACACACGAAACACATACACCACACACAGTTAAAAAGTTGTTGTTTTAATTTCCTCTGTCATACTTTTGCTTGTATTACCTCTTTGTACCATGTAAAATGTTTGGTATTATAATATGTGTAAAGTAAATCTGGTGGAATACGTCGCGTCTGTCATACAGTTTTATTATAAAACTAGTATGGGCGTTAATGTTTAACCTCAACTTAAATTGCATTTCGCATTATAATTTCACATAATGTTAAGACACAAGACAGTAACAGTAGGGCTTGTGAATGAGTTCATCCAGGGAAGTACTGCCACCTTACCTATTTCTGCCGCCAAGCAGTAATGTCGGCATTACTGTGTTTCGGTTTTGAAGGGTAAAGGTCCTGGTGAAATTACAGGCACATAAGACTTGTCAGCTTTTGTCTCGGGTTGACGTGCGCAGTGGCAGTGCACCTCAGATCTTTGCGATTTAAAGGTCAGAGTGACACTGCAACACGTGTAGATTACCATCAGGTGCACGACTTGCCCGTCCCGTTACTTTATATTATAAAAAAAGTAGCCATGTAGCTGTCTTTACTGATTAAAGATTGTTAATAAAGATTTTTAATTATTAAAAGCAATTAACAATTTTAGCGCGCTTAGAGATTTGTATTGCTCAACATTAACGACGTCATTAATGATAGCAAAGTCACCTATATATATGGTGATGCCATCATCAAATATCACTAGTACTGGAACTTAATTATGACGTCTTGTATATCATCTTCACCATCCTCTTTATTTATATACTGCTACTTTTTACGTGTGTTTTAAATTTCACGCACATAAATTCCGAGAAACTCAGAAGTGTGAGCCCGTATTTGAACTCACGGCCACGGCTTGAGAGGCGGTAAGTGGAACCTCTAGGCTACCACGGTTCCTCTATAGTCGAATATTACTTTCACCTTAATAGACTACACTTTGATTTTTAATTCATTGCATGTGAATTGTAGTAAGTTGCATATTTTCTTTCCAAATAAAATTAGTAAGTTTTATTTAATTAAGATAATATACAGGTAAGATAAAAAGACAATAAAAGCTTAAATACTAGAAAGTAAAACTAGGATTTTTAATTATATGAACAAAATTGGGTCCCCGCGGCAAGGTGCCCAAGATGCTGGCAGCGTTCCCCCTTTGTATTGCTATGCTAATGCGTTGGACAAGGTAGCTGCCGGTAGCGGCCCTTGGGTTTCCCAGACAGTCTATTAATTTTTTCGATAAAATTTTGTACAGATGAAGGGCACTGGGACCCCACGGGTCAAGGGTTTCGACTCCAAAGGCTGTAAATAGGTAGTCGGACCCGAGATCCTGGTACTTATTACTTTTTATTCTTTCCGCCAGCGCAGCTGCGGAACCAGCCCTCTTGCTGGTGTGCTGGAGATGGGATGGGGCCAGTGTGTCGGCACATGTGGCGTCCTACTCCAGTGCCCGGCCCATACTCCAAAGGATGAGAGTCATTCCGTCCGGGCGTTTGCCATCTGTTCGCGACATGCTACTTGGCTCGAGTATAGCGGGCACGTTAACAGTGGCTAAGACCCGGCGGATGATGTCATTGAGAACTTCCTGCTGGGAGATTAAGCCGGCGCTCAGCTGGCAGGAAAGACCGTGGTGACGCAGAGCACTTACGTCTTTGCCGTAAGGACACCGATGAGGGGAGCAAACTGGGACACCAAGGGCCTGCAGCTATGCGAATGGTCTCGGCGCTCAGGAAGGTATTGGTACAGGCAGAGGGGAAAGCGTATAGCCAGTGGCCAGATTCCCACCTGGACGCCGCTTCCAGATGCGCTCGGTCTATTGGGGTGCAATGATTCATTAAGTCATTTAAAATCTTTTTGCACGGAATATTATCCCAGCTCCTTTGAATTTTGGGGTCGGACGGAGAATTTTCGTTGGGGCAAATTAGTAAGTTGTTTACACAAAGAAACATATCCAGTAACACAGGTAGTTGTTATAAGCCGAAATTATCTACTTTTACATTAATGTACGTGTAGTAATGATAGAGAATTACTCGGTAAGTAGTTGTGACGCTCCACATATAAAACGGCGTAAGTTACCACTCTCGTATACGTTGCGTGTTGTAAGTAACCGTAATAAAACTATGTACCCAATGTAAATAGTACATGCTACGTCTACCAGGCATTTCTTTGCAAAAGTCACCTGAATTTGAGTTAGTTCTGCTTTTCCTTGCGTATTTATGTCAGCTTTATTAAAGTATTAACCCTATTTTGTTTTATTACGCCGTTTCCTTGGAATATTAAGTTGATCCAAAAACCTGTTCCTTTCATAAATAAAATGTGTAAAATCTTAAGGAACATTGTAGTCCTAACATTATTTTGCTTTGGTTTTCGTCTAAAATACAACGTTATTTCTAAACCAAGGCATGACTCTTCCCGTTTTAATATCAGGCACCAAAAAAAGTAACAACGTGTAGACGCATCATTTAGATGCATGTGGTGTGTACGGAGTTTCATTTAAGACGTTGAGAACAAACCGGCGCACTTTTCCCGGATTTCGTCGCCTTTACGACCGTCTCCCGACGCGGGATTAATATTCCTCCAGCTTTCACAAAGATAGATGGATAACTTAATTAAGAATTTTCAAACTTTTCACCCTTTCAGATTTGCCATATTTTTTTCGAGGTCACAAAAAGTACG